AATCGCTAGATTGACAATATTTGTTATGATTTTTCACAACAAATAAACTCTTTTAAAAACTAATTTATGATAAATAAAATTAAAATAAATCTAATTACAAATAATTTTTTAATATTCGAGCGTTAATTTTTTATATATTTCTTTCAAAAAAATTTAAATTTACCAAATTTTCGATTTCTTTGGTTTGTTTACATATTCATAAAACAAACATATGTTGTGAATATAAGTTGGATATTTTTTGCTGGGGAAAAAATATCCAGTAAAATCAAAAAATTCTCTATCAACGAACTGTAATTTGTATCGCTCGAACGCGAACGGAATCCAGTAACAATTGTTGCAAATTGTTACAAATTATCGAGTACGCGAACAGACCTAATATTTATTACGACATCAGCTGTTCAAGTGTTGAGACATGATGACAGAAGAGGGAAATCATAAGTTGTATAACAAATACCCATATGATGTAAACCTTACCTCTGGGAGAGTATTCAGTTAAAGCTTTCTTACAATCCAATACTGTCTTAGATTTAATTCAATCACCTGGTATCGCCCTAATTGCCTTCTGGCTGTCGGTAAATATATTAAGCCCTGTGGGCGCCATATTTATTCTAATCCAATTTACACATTCCGTTATTGCTCGTACTTCTGCCTGGAAGTTTGTGTTATGACATTCTATCTGGGATTAGCGTTTCAAAGTTTCCGACATATTCTGTATCTGGTATGCGATCAGGCACGTCCGATGAATGTGTTTAACCTTCCAATGTGTCCAGTATACATTGATGACGTGTCCTATAACCGTTTTTTGCCAGTTCGCTGTAAGCTGTATGTTCGTCTGTAAGCGCCGCCTCATATCTTAAATATCTTTCAATGGGTGGAATATCTAGCAACGTTTCCAGAGCCTTGGTTGAAATAGTACACATGGCACCACTTATACCCAAGCAGCATGTACGCTGAACTCCCTATAGTAGTTTGATATTACACTTTTTGTCCAAAGCAATCCACCAGATTATTGTAGCATAAGCTAGAATTGATCTAATTACACTTTCATAAAGCCAATTTGTCATAGTAGGACTAAGACCTCATTTCATGCCTATGGTTCTCCTACAAATCGCCCAGCACCGATGTGCGTTGTTGATCCTATCCTCTATGTGGTGTCTCCATTTTAATTTCCGGTCAAGTATTACACCTAAGTACTTAACTTTGTCTGTCACCGGTATCTTCTTGCCCAGGAAGCAAGGTTCAGTATACGTAGAAATTGTTGTCTTTCTTGTGAAAAGACAGATTTCCGTCTTCGCCGGGTTAACATTGAGGCCTCTCGGTTGAGCCCAGCTCAAGGCCGTATTCAGAGCCTCCTCAGCTCTTCTACACAAGTAATTTGGATCCTTTCCCTGTCTCGGTTAGGGTCCTTAGGAGGCTATTAATCGTGGTAACCCAGAGTAAAGGTGACAAAATGCCACCCTGTGGTATACCGCGAAATGCCTTTTTCCTGATAGTTATATCGTACATCTCGCAGCTTATCCATCTGTTCCTTAGCATGTAGTTGATCCAGTTACGGAGCACCTGGTCAACATAAAACTGGTGTAGGGATTGGATAAGGGTATCAATGTGCACGTTATTGAAAGCGCCTTCGACGTCAATTCATACCGCCAATGTATACAGTTTGCTATCGAAAGATTCACCTATGTAGTGGACGACTTCGTTTAAAGCGGTTTCCACCGATCGTTCCTTTACATAAGCATGCTGCTTATATTTAAGGTCTTTGTATGGTATACTGCTTTTAACCATGCTATCGACTATCCGTTCCAAGTTTTAAGTAGGAAGGACGTAAGACTTATCGGTCGATAGGACTTAGGTGTCGCATAGCTAGGTTTCCCTGGTTTGGATATAAATATTACCCTTGCATCCTGCCATTTAACTGGCGTATATGTCAATTTTAAGCATGCAGTGAATATCTGTGACAGATGTACTAAAACCAGTCCCGCCTCCATCTGCAAAAGTGCCGCAGCTTTATAGGGAGCAAAGCTCTTGATTGCCCCTTTAACCATGTCAGATGTAATAACTATTTCCGTGTTACCCTCCCCTTCCTCCAATATCGGTTCATCAATGTTATTCGATATACCGGGTGGGAAATGAGAGTCCATTAGGAGTTTCATTGTCTCCTCCATATCCTCTAGCCTCCTGCCCGTGTCATCGATCATAGAATCCGGTTGGACATGAGTTTTGGATAGGAATTTTTTATCTTCGATACGTCATTTACGCTATCTACCTGTTCACAAAATTTCCAGGAGTCTCGTTTGGCTTTTTGAACGATTTTCTTATATTCACCAAGTTTATTACGATACTCATCCCAGTATACTGCGGTCTTTTTACGCCGTGCCCGGTTAAATAGTTTGCGAAGAGTCTTCCCAAGGTTCCGGATCTCCCTAGTTGCCCACGGTTTCTCCTGGGCAGATCTCCCCTCTCGCAGAGGGCAGCTGTCCTCGAACGATTCAACGAGGGCACTTGTGAACGTTTCCACTTTGGCATCTATGTCCTCTTTATGTTGACATTGAAAAGTGTCCTGACCTAAACGGTTCTTTAGTAAGGTCCCGAACATTGTCCAATTAGTTTTAGACTTATTCCGAAACTTTATCGGCTTTGGTGGTGGCCTTAGTATTTTGAATCTTATGTACCGATGGTCAGAAAAGGAGTGCTCGTCCGAAACTCTCCAATCCTGAATTTCGTTTATAAGCTCTTCTGAACATATAGTTATATCAAATACTTCTTCTCTGATTCTATTGACGAAGGTAGCTTTATTACCTAAGTTCAATGTTATCAAGTCTTTAGTATTAAGGAAATCCATGAGGGCTTGTCCCCTGCGATTGGTGTTTGTACTACCCAAAGCTACATGGTGGGAGTTGGCATCACAACATGTTCTCGGGCGAGACCCTGTATCAGCGTAGAAAAGTTGGAAATTTACGTGATTTAATCCAGAAACCTTGTTGCGAATCGTCCAAGGTTCCTGGATTAAAGCTATATGTATTTTACCTGTGTTAATTTTAGCCATCAGAGCGTTGGTAGCTGTCTCGCTCCGATGGAGGTTTATTTGGATAACCTCAATCATGGTCATCCATTAAACTGTCTTCCAGCGAGTTGGTTATCACCTCCTCGCTCTTTGGATTTGACTCCTCCGGGTAGCTTGAAGTGGCTATTAATGCAGTGGGTACTGTTGATGGTTCTGTTTTCTGGCGGGTGTACATGCCAGTACTTGCTAATGATGCTTTGGGTACTGTCTTAGGTGTTTTAGTGTCCTTGTCGGGGCCGGTCTTGACAGCCCTTTCAATCGGCGCCTTTCCAATTTTGGAAAGGGCAACTACACTTTCTTCTGGCGAGTTAATGGTAACTTCCTCGATTTTAGGATTTGACTCCTCAACGTTATCAGTAGTGTATACTGATGCTGTGGTCTTAGGTTTTTAGTGTCCTTTTCGAGGCTTGTTGTAACAGCCCTTGCAATCGGCACCTTGCCAATTTTGATCCTCATAAACTTTGACAAAAACATGTCGGCTCCAATAAAACTTGTTTATGTCGAATTTCATCGTTATACAAGCTTTTTTAAGCCAGTTACTAGCAATAAAGTAATTTTCTGAAATGAAATCGTTCACCGATATTGAAAATGGTGGTAGATCGTTTCAAAACGGTTTCTGAATAAATAAATTTTAGGTACCCTCCACCACCATCAGTGGTGACAGAGGGTATATATAAGTTTTTCATTCCGTGTGTAACACCAAAAAATATTCATCCGAAACCCATATACTTTGCATATGGGTTCCTTATGAAATTCTGAGTCGATTTAGCTATGTCCGTCTGCCCGTCTGGTTAAAACACGCTCACGTTAAAACTAAGCAAATGAAATCAACCAAATTCACTGGGAATATTCATTGTTTTCCTAAGCAGTTTGGTATTGAAAATTAGCAAAAGTGGTTCACAACGTAAAAAGTTGTGAGTAAAAATTAGACTACCTCGAAAAAAATTAAGTTTTTTTTCCTAATTCTTGAGTAGTTTCTCAGAAACTACCGAAGATAATTCGACAAATTTTGTCACAGATTATTTTTTGCCATCTATAGATTAATTATGTTTAAAATTGTAACAAACGATCCAAAATTTGCCATAGCCCCCATACAAAGGTACGTATTCCCGGAAATTTATTTATCGTTTATAACTTCCTCAAATATATCGGTATCAACACAAAGTTTGTACATATTGACATTATATGAACAGGAATCAGACATATACAGGAACAGGTGATAGCTCACACTTTCGAAAATCACTTAAATTAAAATTTTTTATTGATAAATAAAGCTATCGGGATAAAGTTTGACGCGAATAAGTTTTGTGTATACATATACGGATCGGTTCATAATTGATCATAGCTCCCATATAAGGTTCACATCCGAAAATCACTTAAACGAGCTTAATTCATAGATATATAAAGCTATCAGGGTAAAACCTTAGTATAAACTATAAATTCAGCCCTATAACTTTAACCATATATTTATATTGGATTTTAATAAAAAGTAGCTTGCAGGCATTCTAACTTGTTTGTTTTTTTAATATTTGAACTTCAATCAATTATTTTGAACAATAGATTTTGGATATAAATTTAAAAAAATATATACATATATATTTTTTTAAATAAATTTATTAGGTATTTATAATAACGATTATAAAAATTAGAGAACTAATTAAAGAATAAATTATAAAACTATTAAAAAAATCTAAATATTTCACTAAAAAATTTATATATAAATTTTTTTAAATGTTTACTCCTATTATTTTGAACGCAACTGTACCTTTACAGTTGCGTACATTTAATTAGGAAAAACTCACTTTCAACTTTAATTAAAAAATTAAAATACATATGAGTTTGATAAATTTTAAACTGTTTAGTACATATTAGAAAAATGTGTTGTTATTTTGGTGTTAGAAATTAATTTATATTTTAAAACATTTAAAATACTTACTGGCAGTCTGCTTCAAGCATCTTAGATCCATCCGAACATTTGAAAAACTTCCCCTAGTGTATGTTTTGTTAAACAACATATTGTTATGAAGAAATTATAAATATCAGCAAATATAGGCAACAAATAAAATATATATTTTTCTTAAAAATAATAATATAATAACAATAATAAAATTATGGGCTTAACTAAAAATACAAAAATATTTCGAATCCTATTTCGCAATGCTCAACATGAGTTTTTTTCGTCAGTTTTACTAAATTTAAACGTTTTAATCCGACTTATTTTTGATTCTGGTCTTGAGATACGCATTTGAATAAAAAATTAAGAAAGTTGTCCCGAATTATTTAACATAATTCAAGTACGATCTGTAAAATTGTTTTGGCGATATTTATACAGGTTTCTTAAACAATAATGACGATGATAGGATTCCATACAAAAGGGATTTTTTGATTGGTTGTTTCTAGGTCCTACCTTTTAAAGGGGATCTTGCAATTAACGTGTGTTAATACGATATTTCGGTAGGAATAGTTTCTCTGGACTGAAATTTTAAGAAGCTGGTTTTACACACTAATTAGTGAAATATAACACATCCAAGATAAATTTGTATAACTCAGTTAATAAACATATAATGTTGCACATTTATTGTAAATTTGGAATCAATTTAATTATTTTAAAATACGCTTGTGCTGAAATAACTAATAACTTAATGTGTAAAATGTCATCCATAACATCAAAAAGTACGTTTATACATATGTAAGTACATATACTATGTACATTAAATTTGATTGAGAGAAACTTTTTCGCTCTCATTAAATTCCAATAGTGAAATTATGTTGTTAAAACATAAAGGGCGATAAAGGGCTCTTACTTTAGAAATAATTGAATATTACATATTTCATAGCCTTCTATTTGAAGTAAATTTTTTTAAAATAATACATATGTATGTATATATTGTCCATTTTATACATATACAGTAGAACAGCCTAAACAAGATGTCCCGTGGAATACTTTTCAAACGATGCATATTAATGTACCGAATACGAGAAAAATAAAAAATATTTGTTTCGAATGGTCCTCAGTTCCCTACCATAGATTGAAAATCCTTACCTCAGTACAATTTGTAAGAAATAAAATGGCTCCAATTTTCAGAATTTTTTACATTATTTTGAAATTTATATTCCACTTATAATACACTAAAAATCGTTTTGTGAATCAGAAATACTCTATCAAAAATTTAATTATTTTTTCCGCGATAAGCTCAAAATTGCGAAATTTTTGAGACCCATTTTAAAAAGAAAAAAATTGTAACATATTGTACTGTTATCAATATTTTCAATCGCAGGTAAAACACTGAGGCCCTGTTATAAATATGTATATATTTTTTTATTTTTCTCGTATTTAGTACATTAAAACGCATCGTTTGAGAGGTATTCCAGGGGATACCCAAATGTACAATTTGTTTAAGGCTGTTCTATTGCATATGGGCAATTCCATACGCTTGTATGTGACGTTCGTACGCCTTCAGAGTGGTATAGATTTGGTAAAAATGGGAGTACTTGGAAAACAATATTGACATTCTGCTCCATTCTGAGAATACTTTATTTGCAAAAGGAATCATCCCATTCGGAATCTTGTTTTCCAAAATATGGATTAAAATATGGCGATATCATACGTGACGAAAAACGGAAGTGTTTTTGAAGTACATGTAAATATTTACGAAAATCTGCGAATTCTGTAGGTGTATCTTTTTTGTTTTAATTTCTTACACTATTTGACATATTTTTGATTCGTAATCCATAGTTTTTAAATAATAAAAAAATTAATATAATTTTAAAATGAACATTTTTGAATATCGTACGTGACACATCGCATGTGATTGATTTTTCTTCTGATTTTTTTAGGTTATAAAATATATATTTTGGAAATATATGCACACACACACCTCAACAAATAAAAAGGAGTAGGAAAGTGCAGTCGGACATGGCCGACCTATATACATGTTTAAGCAATTTATAGATAAAATTAAAAAACAGAAATTATATGACGACTAGGGTCAAATATGGACCGATCCTCATAAAATTTTGGAGTGGGATTTTTATTCATATAAAAATTATTTGTGCCAAATTTTATTATAATACTAGTGCTTATAAGTAAGTTACGGACGTTTAAGTGTTTTTCTGAAATTAAATTTTGAATGGTCAAACGAGGCCCAATCGTTATGAAAATCGTCATAATGGTTTAGGCTTATATACATTGTAGATCTGCCGATTTTGGAAGGAATAGTATTATAATTAACAGAATTATGATCTAAAAAGTGATATTTGCGTGTCCGTTTGTATGGGGGCTAGGTGTAAAAATAGACCGATATCAAAAATTTTCAACAGTCTTCATCTTTGGTGCTACAAAAGATGATATACCAATTTTTGTTGAATTATCTTCAAAAATGCAAAAGTTAGAGGGGTTTTATTTTTTCAGTCGTGATTTACCATTTTATGGAATTGCCCATATGTAAAAATTAACCAGAACTGTAATAACTTATATCTTGGATAGCATTGTACGGGTTTCTAATAACTACAGCGGGTATACATATATAAGGATTATATTATATACATACATATATACATTTTTAATTTCAAGAAGTGCTGATCGGATATGGACAAACAAACCCTAAAACTATTGAAATGTATGGGTCATTTATGGATTGAGAGGTATTCCAGGGGATACCCAATGTACAATTTGTTTAAGGCTGTTCTATTGCATATGTAAAAATGAACCAGAACTGTAATAACTTATATCTTGGATTGCATTGTACGGGTTTCTAATAACTACAGCGGGTATACATATATAAGGATTATATTATATACATACATATATACATTTTTTAATTTCAAGGGGTGCTGATCGGATATGGACAAGCAAACCCTAAAACTATTGAAATGTATGGGTCATTTATGGATTTCAACTAAAATTTACTTGAGTTATCAACTGACATAACAAGTGGTATTATGAACGGCAACATTCTTCTTTTTTTGGAAATAATTCAGTATCGATGTTACTATTGCATATATCGCATATTTACATGTTTGGAGCTAAGGCGTGTTCGACTTGATTGAAAGTTCAAGGTGATCGTAGGCGGAATGGGGCCAGAGGGTGCCCCTCAAAGTTAATCACCTCGGGTGTTAAATTTTTTTTAAATTGCCAAAAATTTATGATCTGAATGAGCAGAAATTTAAAATATAACTAATCCTTGAAAAGATATACAAAAAATAAGCTTACACTTTTGCTTTAAGAAATATTAAGGTTAAAATTAGTTTAATCTTAAATTTTCCTGATCTTTTTTAGTTTTTTTAAATGTGATTTGAGTAAAAATTTCGAATTCTTAATTTTTGTTCCAATATCCGTTCTAATTTTACATTACATTCAAATTTTATTGTAAATGGTGTTCTAATAAAAGACTCGTTATATTATATATCTATTAAAATGTAATCTCTAAGTCATTGTGTTTTCAATGATTCCAATCACTTGTATAAAAACTATGAACTTTATCACACGAAAGTTCCCAAACTCATACTTTTGATATTTTGAATGTCTTTTTTTCATTTGCAAGCAAATTTCTTTTATTAATCCTGTCCCTGGTTAAAATTTACCACTTTTTCCCGTTTTAACCAAGTTTGCAACCGTTATCGCTAAGCTATCGTTACAGCTAAAAAACCTTTTCAGCCGTACTACCTAAAATACCGAAATAAGCCAAAATACCGATAATTCTTAAAAAAATACCGATATCGCTAAAATATTAATACCGAAATAAGTTAAAATACCAATAACCCAAAAAATAAAATAATCCAAAAAGCAAATTAATAAATAAATAAATCTTCACTTAATTAATATTTTTAACATCACTGCAGAATAGACTATAGAATACAATATAGACTATAAAATAGACTAAATACTAGACTATAGACTATGGAATATACTATATAGACTAAAATATATACTATAGAGGGTCTATAGGGTCAACCCCCCATATAAGGTCCTCTTCAGAAAATTACTTTAATTACTATTAATATCTGCCTTAAAAATGACGGTGATATTAAAAATAAGTTTCATATTAACTAAAATCTAGCCACCAAATTTTATGAGGATCGGTCTATAATTGGCCCATTGACCATTTCCCACATTTTAGAACACTACCGTTGCCGCTAAAATATCGTTACCAAAATACCGAATTGTTTTAAGATTTTCAAAACTACTTCTTCAATGTAAAATTCCGATTGGATTAAAACTTATCACCAAAATTTGTTTGCAAAGTACAAAAAAGACATTGACAATATTAACAAGTGATAGTGTTATATTCGGCTGTGCCGAATCTCATATACCCACAATCAAACCGTATGCCATAAAAGCAATGCTCCATTAACATCATGATCACTCATCAAATTAACTGACCGTTTCTCACAAAGCCAGAAATGATCGTTAAAGTAATTTTCTGAAGGGGACTCTATATGTGGCTAGGAACAATTATGGACCGATCCTCAATAATCTTGGTAGAGAGATTTTAACTCATATAAAACTTATGTGTGTCAAATTTTATCGCTTTACTCGTATTTTTTAGCCAATACTGAGCCTTAAAGTCATTTTCTGAAGCAGATCTTATATCAATAATATGCCAATTCTCATAAAAGTCAGTAGAGAGGGTTTGGCTGATAAGAAACTTAAGTTAAGTCGTTTTCTAAAGGGGTCCTTATATCGGGGGTAGGGTCAACCAAGTTTGCAGATTTTGGCTCGTAAGAAACGTCATTTTTTGACGGGGATCGTATATGGGGGGTAGGGTCTATAGTAGACCTATCCACATAAAATTTGGTAGAGAGATTTTGGCTAGTAAGACACTTACTTATGAAAAATTGCATTGCTACACTCGTGTTTTTAATCCAGTAATGAGCGTTAAAGTAATTTTCTGAAGGGGACCTTATATGGGGGCTAGGGTCAATTATGGACCGATCCTCATAAAATTTGGTTGGGAGATTTTGGATCATATGAGACTTATTTGTGTTGA